TACTCATGATTCAAATTATTTTTCTCTGTTTAAATACAGCTACCTAGAAGCGTACTGCAGTTGGTAGCTCAGTGACATCTGTGAGTACAATGACACTGATACTTCCCTGTTTCTACCAGAAATGTTTTACCTGATGACAAGAAGAACTGTATTTACACTTTACACCATGGCTCAGTCATCCTGTCTTCCATGAATACCCCCAGGCCTTTTTTCCCCTTCTGTCATCACTGACTAATGAGTTCTCAGCTTAGAGAAAGGCTTCCTGTTTCTAGACTGTAAGTGCAAGGCGATGCCACTTTTGTACTAGGCAATTTGAAATCAATTCCTCTACTCCTGTTCTTGAACGTGTCAGGTACTTCCCACACAGTATGATAATACTCATCGTTACCAATGACATCCCTCAGTAAGTGTCGTAGCTCAGTCCTGTTTTAAACTCAAGTCATTATATGAAAATATGAGATGTAAATGGTTCACATTGATTTTTCAGCTGCACCCACAGTCAGCTCCATTTTGCCCAGGAACTTCCTTTTTAAACCAGTGCTGCTATATTTCTTGCACTAATCCCTGTCTTTTTCTGCTTAATAAATATTTTCCCACGCGGCATTTCATCAAATGCTTTTCTCGTGTCAAGTTTGATGAAGGCCCTGGCTTTATTTCATCTAGAAATTCACCTATAAAAGAAAATCAGTAATTTTATTTTGTGTTGTCATTCAAACCGTGCCCCTGATCATTAACTATTCCATGGGCTCTATTCCCTTTTTCTGCTGCTGCTACTGGCAATATACATAGGCCTGAGTATCTCCTGGCAAGACAACTCAATCAAGCATTGAAAAAATCCCTTGCTAATTTTTGAAATACTAATGATGGTATCTTTTTATCCCATTTAAAAAGCCAGTTTCTTTCCTCTAATGATCTGATGAACTTTGCCATCAAATCCAGGTTGTGGGGAGACTAGAAGTCATGATCCTTCACAGTAGAAAAGTTTTTGGAGATAAAAGCCTAGTTCTCTCATTCTTCAAAGTTTAAGGCTTATTTTTGTTTCCAAACGAAGTATACTTTACTGTTTTCTGCCACTGCCACATGGATATTTGTCTGCATCAAAGTGCCTCAGACAACTAGAAGGACATAGCTAATTATCTAGTTAAAAGACACCCAGTTGTGAAATAGCCAACTTTTTGTTCTTATTTTTATTTTGTCTCTTGATAAGTTTTAAAGTGAAACACAGAGGTAGAAATAGCATCTGCCCAGGCTGTGCTTGGTTTTATCTAGGACCCTGTGTACCAGCCTTCCTGAGCTTCTAAATTCATTCTTTATTGCAAAAGAATGAATGTTAACACTACCTTTCATTTCAGTCTTGACATTTCAGCAAATTTACCTCTCTGAATCACTAACTGAACTCAACAAAAGGTTTTTATCTGCTGATAACTTTCCATTGGAGAGATTTAAAGTGCCAGATGACATTAGCTCTAGCTCAAAGATGTTATTAAATTCTCACCTTAAATCTCACATACAGAAAGCTCTTGTCAGGTCACATGAATGAGATGATTGCATTAGTCATACTACAAGAGTGATACTCATTCCACTAAGTTCACTATATTCAGGCTGCAGTTTGATCTGTGAGAGGACACTTCATATCTAACATGATGTGGTTTCTTTACGTCAGTGTTTTTAGTAGTTATATTCTTGTCATTGTAATTTATATCCCCTTTGCTCTGTAGGATTCTTTCCTCAGTATCCTTGCTGCTTTTGTTAAAATGTGATCTGCTACAGTGTAAAAAACCTCCACACAATTAGTTAATTCAAGACATTTCTTCTGTTCATAGTTCAGCTTGAAACTCACCATACACTTTTGAAGTACAGTGTCCCTGAACTGGCCTCCGAATTATGAAACTAAATTAGCATGACTGACATTTTGCACGTGGGAATTTATGCAAGGATCTACTTGTGCAAAGTTTAAATACACCAGCTGAAACATTGATGAATTATGAATGATTATAATTAAATGGGTTTATTTCTTCATTTTTTAAAATTTCTTTTCTCACTTTTTTCTGTCTTCTCTTAACCCAGTACTATCCAGATGGCTTGGGATAGCTAGATTTGTGTGTGTGTGTTGATCTCGAAGTAAACCAGTGCCATTGACTAGATTTGGGGATTAAAATGAATTTATCTACGGATTAAGAACTCCATATGCCAGTTTTAGTGGGTGTTATGAAATAGGAATCAGCTAGCTACAGATTTCCTAATACACTTATGTACTTTTATAGCCTAAATCATCTTAGTATCAGAGCTCTTCAGCAACTTGAATGCACCTACAACACCCATGTGAGTTAAAAGGGTTATCTCCTGATTCTCCTAATGGGATAACTGAAGTGCAGGAAGATTAAACAGCTAAGTCAAAGCCAGTAAGAAATCAGCAGCAGCCTCAGAGCTAGAGTAGAATTCTCTGGGATCCAGGCCACTGCCTTAAACAGAAAGTTGTTCCTCCTGGCGTAACAACCTTACTGAAATCAGCAGCACAACTCTCAGAATGTTCTGTGAAGGAGAGCTCCTTAGGCAGGGTAGAGCAGGGAGGCAGATGCCTGTCCTCCCTATTTGCAGAACTGTAACTGTGTTTATGGCATCTCTTGTGGAAAATCACAGGATGCTTTACAGACTTGCATTGTGCCTCCTAGCCCTTCTCATAATTACAGAGGTTTGTAAGTATCAACATTTTATAGTTGGTGAAAAGGGAAGATGTAGTGCTCGGGAAATGTGTGTGTGTCACTGTAAAATGAAGCTGTGCGTGGCTTGGGAATACATTTTTGCTTCTCTGAGACTGTCCAGTGCCTCATCTACCAGAGCCAGAATGACCTCTGGAGGAGGCCCCACCTCACTGGCCATGTCGAGGAAACAGCAGCAATGCTCAGCAACACAGCAGGGATCTTGCAGTTAATTAAGATTTGCAGATTGTTTAAGAGAGTAATTTTTTGAGTAACATTGGGTTATCTGTGTTGCATACAAGTCTCAGAGAATAGTGACAGCACTGCTTTCTCTATGTTTCTTAACTCAGCTGCCCCAGCCTCCTGTTAGCTTGTTAGTTAGCTTATTAGTTTGTTGTACCACTGGTTTCTAGTACAGCCTTATTTCCTGTGACTCAAAAGCACGAAAACTGTCTACCTATGCGTGTCACCTCTGTGCAGTGAAAATATAATTTGCATTCTGTGCTGAGCAAAACCAGATATGCTTATTTTGGTGTCTTATTTTATCTTATAAATTCCAAGCAGACACCATAAGGAAGTTTCTTGGCGTCCCAGAGCACCGGCAGATGTGCCCTTTTGGTGCTGGGGTTAAATGCGTGCTTCAACTTGAACTGTTTTATATTCAGCCTTTCGTATTGTCATTACCTTTCCTCTTGCTGTTTGAATGCTTTTCCCTTGCTCTTTCCCTTTTTTCCAATTTCTTTCCAAGATCTAATAATAACATTAAACTATTTGGATGCACACCACTGTTTTGTTCAGTATATTTTTCATCAGCCCTGGGATTGTTGCTCCTGAGTTTCAGTCCTCAGTTAGAGTACTTCTCCATGTCCCAGAAGTTTGGTTTGCTCTCTCTCTCCTGACAGGCCCAGCTTTATTTTCTGCTTCATCCTGCTGCAGGACAGCGCAGTGAAAGACCTAATTTTTGATACTGTTTTCCACGAGTGTGACCACACAAAGCTGGAATTGGCCTGGCATTTCTTGGTTTCTTGCCAGTGTGGCTGGACAGGGGCTGTCCCAGTCTCTTCTATGGTTCCACATCGCTGAAAAGGCGCTTCCCTCTATTGAAGCGCAGTGCTGAGGTTGAGGGGCAACTGGGAACATACTGTGGGCTGGCTCCTGCTGCACACCACTCTACCCTCCCCATTCCATGACCCCAGGACCACGCCTGTGCACTTTGCTCCTTCAAGAGCATCCAACACTGAGTGCTCCAAAATATCTCTGCATACAGGGTTAAATGGCTGCTGCTGCCTTTAGAGCAATAGTGCAGTGGTGTGGGACCCTGCAGGATGCCATTTTTCCCTCTGGTTTGGCTATGTGGACTGTGATGCAAATGGATGGGGTTTAACCTTTGCAGATAGGCAGCCTGATCCTTGTGATAGTCCAAAACCTCTGCTCTGTGGTGGTGCATGAAGTGACAGAGGCCATGGTGTGAGGTGTCACCAGTCTCCTGTGTGTAAACTTTGTGCTTTCAAGTTTTTGTCCTTCCTGGTTGCTGACAGTGACATTCTCTGAAGCTTTTTCAGCTCCACCTTGACCGAGTTTTATGTTATTCTTTCACAGGAAAATACATCGTTCACGAAAGCAAGGGACTAATAGCAGACTAGAGCTAAGCCTAGTAAAAGCAGGTGTTATGCAATTTGTCACCGCATGACTCTACTAATGCATCGTTAGTCCAGGACTATGGTACCCCTGCCATGTTTTAAAGTGCAGAAAGATAAGCGTGCGCTGTACCCTGGAGTGCCTTAGTCTATAAATGTAATTCAGAAATATGGGAAACAGTGCTCAGAGTCTGATGGCCTTTTTCGACACAATTACAGGAGCAGCGTGAAATGCTGAACATTTGCAGCAAGGGTGCACAGAGCAAATGGGAAGTTGGATGCGCAGGCTGTTAATTCAAGCCTAGATAAGCTTCTGACTAAGAGGGTTTTAATTTGTTTTTTTGCCCTAATATGATGCTTGTATGATAGCAATTTTCCCGAGAAGAACCTATTACAACTTATGCTCATCTGTAGAGCCACATTTAATGAGGAGGATACCTGACAGTTTTTAATGGCCCTCTACAGACTTCAAAGGGTATGAATCTAAAAAAGCATTGAATATCAAAATGTTTTTATTTGACTGCAGATGAAGACACTTTAATCTGGAAAAAATGTGTGTGGTTTGAAATGAAATGAAAAGGGCAACATATGAAACAGAGAATTTTCTCTCAAGACAGACAAGGCATTCAATCCCTTAGTGTCACGTTTGTGTTTGTTCTTTCAGGATCGCTTTCAGGGAAGGTACCAGGAACATCACTCCGTGTTCTCAAACTCTTGCTGAAATGAATGGGTATTGACAACTTTCAGTCCTGTAGAGGAGAAGCTTAATTCCAGGGGTCACAGGTAGGAAAGCATATGCCTGTGCTGCAACCTCCCAATGCACACCCTCAGTCTTAAATCAGATTGGCAGAACAAGCCAGGCAAAGTTGGGCTGGCCACGAACAATTTTTCAAATGGCTGAACAGAGACAAATCATTCCTCTGGTTACCCACTGAGACCTGAATGAATAATCAGAGCTGCAATAAAGCCTGGAAATCAATAATCACTGGCTCTGTGAATAGCTAAGAACTAGACAGAGGATGGGCAAAGCAAGAATCAGCAGGTGTACCCTTACTGGGAGCACACAGGCTCTGTCGTTTCATGTGTATAAAATCAGAGGAAGCTTTTCTTCTGATTTCACTCAGCAACATGTGGTACAGGTGACAAGTTGAGCTTCTGTGGTGTATTTGGCTTCCTGTTTCTTAAGGGTAGGAGCCCCTGGTGGTCTAGGGGGTAAAGGCGCCGCGCTGTCACCGCGGAGACCCGGGTTCGATTCCCGGTCAGGGCCACTCCCGGGCAGGTGGGGCTCGTTAGCCCTTAAAGGCAACCCACCTACGTCCTAAGGACCTCGCTGCCACCGTCCAAGCTCGCTTGGCCCCGGCAGATGAACCTTAGGATTAAAGGGTGGGCTCAGTTCAGCGCACACTGTGTCTCACCTAAAAAATCCAATGCGCAGGCTGGAAGGTGGAAAGACCTTCCCCGGATCTTCGCTTGCGAAGACTGGCCATTATTATATTATTACTCTTAAGGGTATAGAAGCAGTTTGTGTGAATGGGTAGATGGAGAATTTTCAGTTTTTCTAACGTAGTTCCCTTTGATCTTACCCACTGGAAATATATGATACCTAAGCAATTTTCCTGGCAATGATTTGTGACACCCTCTCAGGAGAAGGTTTTGGGGTGGGCTAGAGTCCTTTGATCTGTGTGTGTGTGCAAATGAGTGTTCATACTGCTCTATGGCAACTCTTTGAAATAGCATGATCGGAGAAACACAGTGCTCTTGCTCTTTGTATATTTATGAGTCATTATTCTCTTAGTATTAGTACTGTGAGAATTTTTTGCTACCTCCTCACTTTGTATGCAGCAAAGAGTGTGAGAAATAAGATACTTTTTTTGCATTCTGATCGAATAAAATTCGCAGGACTGTCTATCTTTCAAGTGTTTATCAGTAGCAGATGCTGGACCTGATATCATTTGGCTTTACTGCCTTTTTTCCAATGGTACAGGGTATGTGAGTGCCAGCACTGTGTGTGCTTGACCAGGCACTTTCTTCTGCAAAGAGCAGAGATTGTGTTCCCTGGTGGAAATCTCGTCATCAGCCCCAAGGGTTGCTCTGTAATTTACTCAGCTGTAAAGAATGTGGTCCTTCCAGGCACTGCTACCCAGCATGGCAGGTTGTCTCCCTTTTCCTCTCATGCACTTCAGCGTTGCCACGCCTTCCTTGGGAACACTCATTCCTGCAGACAGGGATGTTGCTCTTTCCTAAAGTGGTAGCAGGCATGCACTAAGGCAAGCAGAAACACTATGTGGCCTTTAGCATGACCAAAGCCCACAGTCCAGCTCCTTTTCAGAAACACTGAACTCAGATGGGCTGTGTCTGTCTTAAATTTTGGTAATATTTTGGCCCAGGTTTGGATGATTTGGATGCTTTAAAGGGATGTCTACGAGAGAAGCTGAACCTGCAAAACTTTTGCCTTTCCTCAGCCTTGTGGTCCACTCTTCAGGGTCATTCATTCATAGGCATTCACACAGTCATTTTTCCTGGCTGTGGCTCTTTCTACATGGCTAATGACTTGAGTCCACGCTAGTGATATAGATGCAAAGGAGAAAGGACATGACTGTTGCTGGAAAAGGGTGCTCCTGCCTTTGAAAATATCCTCTGTACATTTCTGCTTCAATTAGTCCTTCAGATATCACCCTAAAGATTATTTGCCTTCTTCTGCTGTGCCAGGTAATCCCAGCATTAAGCATGAAGTATGCTGTTCCCGGCTGTTACTAATTAATATATTTTAACCTGTCAATAATTAATGTGGAAATTGGGAAGAATAATACCATGGAGGCTACAGCCTGAGATCTGCTGCCTGGCAACGGTGAATGTACATATCCATTATATCAGGAAATTAGAAACTGGAGCAAGAACTGATCTGTCTGACATTTTGTAAGATGATATAAATGGACCCACTCAACAAACACTAGATTTATGTGAGGATATGAATGATATGTGTCTGGGGAAAAGATATTATCTCTCTCACGAAGGTGCAGTTAATACCAGACATCAATTAAGTATAGTTCATTAAAGCCTCTGGGTAATCTTATTTTTGGACGAGATCAGAGGAGCAACTTACAAGGACTGACAGAGGGGTTATCTTGGTAATAATCTCCACTTTTGCATGTAGCATCTCTCATAGGATGAACTAAGTGAAGTAGCATCTAGACTGTAACAACAATAACCTTTTCAGATGGAGAGACTGTGCAGTGAAAAATAATAGTGGCTTATTATGTTTGAAGTAGTTGTGTTAGATAGGTTTTTTGAGATATGCTAGTCATGATAGTAGTGCAGATATGATAATGGTTGGTTTATACACTCATTCCACTTTATCTGAAACATTTCATCTGTACAGGTAGAGAGACTGGAGGCAGGGAAAACTATGGGACTGTTAGCGATAAGGGGGTCATGTTTTATTGCTTCTTCCTGCTATGGCTAAAATATTCCTTTATATATTGAGAGATACAGTGTTTTAATGGAATCAGTTTGAATGTTGTTTTCTTGAATTTGATCAGTTGTCTCTACATCTTGAATCCCAAGTGCAGTGCACCAGTTACTGTCAGGAAGTAAAGTTCAGTAAGTGAGGTGGCAATGACAATTGTGATCCCATATCTTATTCCCAATTAGTGATGTGGCTCTCAGGCAAAGAGACAGAAGAAACACATTTCTTCAGCACATCTGGAAGAAACAGGGTTAAGCTTGGCATGGAGCCCAAGTTTGCAGCGTAACTTCTGAGAACGCCTTGCTTTCCCAGGTTCTGCTACGAAAACAGGCTCCACACTTGCATTTTGACATTAAAACTAACTGCTTCTGGAAGTGGCCCCTCTTTTCTGTTTTTCATGTGAAATCTTCTGTGGCTTCTTGCCCAACTTTAATTTGTGTCACAGTTGCTCCTGTGCCATAAAGCATGTGAGCTTGCTGCAGCACTGGCTTGAGGGTGCAGGAGGCTGCGAGGAGTCTGAGCGTTGCTGGAGGCAGAAGGAAGCAAAGGCCCACAAGGGGCTGCTGGAGGGTGTCAGGAGGAAAAAGGAGAGAATAGAGAAACACTGCTCAGGAGAGGGTTATGATTTTAAGTCTCTAGATGTTAAGGCAAACAGCGTGCTGCCTTTCAGCAAGTAGCATTGCCATCCACCTCTTCCTTACTCACCACCTCCTTCCTTTTCCCGTTTTCTTATGGCATGGAGCCTCAGCCTTGCTTGCTTTGTGGGTATAATAACATCTACAGCTCTCCAGAGCTTGACACAGCCTAAAGTATGTTAGGTTTATGGCAGTGTATTTCAGCTAATCCTTGTTCATATCTGGGGGTTTCTGTTTCAGAGACACTCAGAGTAGGAAGTCATGTTAAATACCGTGTAATGAGAGAAAACTGGAAATGCTGACTTACTGAAGGGATTATTTCCCACGGGCTGTTCATACCATCATGCATGGTGTTTTGAGTTTTCTGCTTCCCACAACTCTCCCCAAAGCTTTTGGGATCCTCAGATATCTTTTTCTAGTAATTATTTCGCTCTGTGGATTTGGGTCTTTTCCACTACCTGTGTTAATTTGACAAACAATTGTACACCATATCCAAAGGACAGAGATAATCCATGGAAGATTTTGGACTTGAGGGGAATATTCAGAATAGCATAATAGCAAATCTGGTGATACAACATGAGGCAAAGCACCGTCATTTCCAAAAACCCTCAGCTTGAAACATCTCTATTAACAAAGTTGCTGCACTCTACCTAAAGAGCTGGCAGTAGTATAGCCTACTTCAAACCCGTAAAATGTTATTGTATTACCTGCCTTGCTGCACCATAACTAGCTCAGGTCTTTGTCAGGCCATGCTGTACCTCAGCTATCAGCTCCTATGGCAGAGAAGATAAGGGAGAAGCGTATTTCATGGGGCCAGACCCTGGCCAGTGCCCAGCTGCTCTCAGTTTCAGGGCAGCTCTGACGCAGATTTCTGCTGTGGGGCTTTGAAGTGACAGTGCTGGAAAACAAAGTGTCTGTGGGGCTTCTTAGCCATTTCAGAGCACAAAGAAACTCGCAGCTTCCTGAAGCAGACGGGGTTTAATTAATTTTCCTTTCCTCCCCGCCCCCCCCCTTTTCCTTTCTGGCAGCTTTTCTGATGTTGTTTTTCAGGTTTATTTGCTGTTGTCTCTGTAGGAGAACCTGGTGTTTTCCTTGCCAAAGTGCTGCCCCTCACACTAGAGGAGACTAAGCTTAAACAGGCTTTGCTGAGCTGAGCTGAGCTGAGACAGAACAACTCTGTAGCTCTCCCTGATGCCTCAGCTCCAGGCTTAGCCTCAGCCACTGCTGTTACTTGTCACCACCTGAGGTGCCACTGAAAACTGAGTTCTTCATCCCTCCAATAAACAATTAAATTAAGGCAGCGCTGTTCCCCAGAGTATGCGTGGAGCAGAAGGGGGAAAATAAGACAGGAGAGAGTAGATGGTGAGCTTCCATATATATTTTTGATGAGATGAATTAAGAAAGGCACATTTAATAGCAAATCTCCCTACAGCTTTTTCTGAAAAAAAAAAAACTTTACTGTGAGGCTGAGAGAGACTTGTAAGGCTAATGTTCTGATTAGACATCATGTTACTGAAGGGGAGCTAGTTAACAAAGCCACAGTATTTTGGCTGATACGGTAAGTTCGATCACATATTGCGAAACTAGATGAGGTGTGAGCACCTTCTAGTGCATTTTTCAAAATGCATCCTTTTCTTCAGGCTGGCTAAATACATAATTTTAGGGTTTATTCCAGCTCACAT